AATCACAGGAGTCTTTGTGGGAGAGGGAATTGGAAGAGAGAACAGCATGAGGAGTAGGCCCCCAGAAGAGAATGCATCCTACCGATACCTTGATCTTAACTCAGTGAGATCTGTGTTAGACTTCTGAGTAACAGAACTATAAGATAATACATTTGTGTTGTTTCAAGCCACTAAATTTGTGTTGATTTGTTTCAATAGCGATAGATAAGTAATACAAGTACTTATACTGCTCCTTAGAAAAAGTCACTCGCTTTGACTCTTGCTCTTCCTGCATCATCTGATGATTTCGTTAGCTACCTTGATTTCCCTTTTACATGGCTCCATGTTTCTCATCTAGATCCTTGGATAAAACAACCCACTATAAGACTGTTTACTCTGAGTCAACAATGAATGTCCTTAGGATACACCTTTTCAGTATTTGGATATTAGTTTTACAAAACACAACTAATGTTAAGAGGCTACTTAAAACTGTGAAACTCGGGGATCCTTGGGTGGCTCAGCGGTTTAGCGCCTGCCTTTGGCTGAGGGCGTGATCCTGGAGTCCTGGGATTGAGTCCCCCATCGGGCTCCCTGCGTGGAATCTGCTTCTCCCTCTGCCTGAGTCTCTGCCTCTCTCTCTCTCTCTCTCTCTTTCTCTCTCTCTCTCTGTATCTCTCATGAATAAATAAATAAAATCTTAAAAAAACAAAACAAAACTGTGAAACTGTTTTGCTATATAGGCTGCTGCTTTTTAGGAATTCAAGGTCAGATACTGATCCAGTACTCCTAACTGCACTGACCTAACTCTTAAGAAATTATTTTTGTCACCTCACAATATTTATCAGAGAAATTACCTTTATGGGTATAAATGAAGCTGCTTATAACTTTATTCTTTATGATGGAGCCTGAGTGAGATGTACATCTTTTTTCTTACTTGACGGAGGAGGAAAATGCTGGGCCATATAGCCTGATTACCTATTTCATTGAGCTGACTTGGTCATAGATTTAGGTGTACATTTGACAGCCTAACTTGCCAAGTTGTGGCCAACACATGTAACTCCTGCAAAATCCTTGACTTGATGCAGCACCAGGTTTTTTTCTCCTTGCCCAATGGCTGTTGTAGCATTAACTGGTGTTGGGGGCTCAATTTTGCAAAAGCTTCAGTAGGTCATTGTGATATGAGTTAGTTTGGACAACTGAATCCCCCAGCCCTTTCAAATGTAATTCTTTATGTAGCTGGGAGGCTTGAATTCACTGAAACTTTCTGTCTTTTCAGGAAATCTGATTCTATGCTAGGAGTACTAGAAAGAATTCATAATTCTGACTTTCTGCATTTGTTCACTCCATAGCAGGGAAATTTTTTATTGGTAAAAAACTTCTTGACCCATTGTGAAATAAGAACCTTACTGAGCCCTCCTTTCTGTACTAAGTCATTTCTCAGATGAAAGAAGAGGATCTTTCCATGTTGTTCTTTGTTTTCCACATTTCATATTCCCTATTTCATGAAAAATGCTTTCATTGGATTAACAAAGTATTTTTTGTGATTCCATTTGTCTGCATTATTGGCATATTAGCTATCCTTTTCTCTTTTAGCATTACTCTAAGGTTTACAATATATATCTAACTTTATCAATGTATTTTTAAATAATGTTTCATGCATAAGCCTTACAACAATATACTTCTGTCCATATTTTCTGATTCCTTTCAGTGTATTTTACTTTGTTTTGTATATATATGTTTTTCTGTCTTATTTTGAGATCTAGTTTATTGATTTTTAGTTTTTCCAATTTAAATTCAATTAGCCAACATATAGTACATCATTAGTTTCAGATGTAGTTTTCAATAATTCATCAGTTGCAATAACACCCAAGTGCTCATCACATCACATGTGATCATTAATACCCATAACCCAGTCACCCTACCCCCCACCCTCTCCCCTTCAGCAACCCTCAGTCTGTTTACCAGAGTTAAGAGGTGGTTAACTCATAAGAGACTCATGGTTTGTCTCCCTCTTGGATTTTTTCCCATTGAGTTTTCTCTGTCTTCCATTATGGTCCTCTGCACTATTTCTTATGTTCCACATGTGAATGAAACCATATGATAATTGTCCTTCTCTGACTTATTTCAGTCAGCATAATACCCTCTAGTTCCATTCATATCCGTGTAAATGGTAGATATTTGTTCTTTCTGATTGCTGAATCTTCTTCTGTCACCAACTCCCTCTTTTGCTTCATTTACCCTCCCCGTTAGACATCCATTTTAGACTGCATCTCAGTTACAGCAGTTTTAGTTTCAACCTGATGGGATTTTATTTCTACACTAAGAGATTCTCTAGTGTCTTTTTTGCTCTTTTCAAGCCCAGGTAGTAACTTTATAATCATTATCCTGAATTCCAGCTCTGACATCTTACTTAGTATCCATATTGATTAGATCTTGGGAGAGAGTATTACCTCTGGTTCTTTCCTTTGTTATGAAGTCCTCCTTTTAGTACTTTTGCCTAGAGAACAATGGTTGAACATAAATAAAAAATATCAACTATGACCCAAGTGAAATACACAGTGCACAAATCCAAAGAGGTCAGAAACCAAAAAAGGAAAGGAAAAAAAAAAATTGAAAGGAAAGGGAAAGAAAAAAGAAAAAATTGGGGGAGGAGAGAGAATATAATTTCACAGGATGGACAAAACAGGGTGATCCACTTGGTCCTGAGTGTGTATATTTTGGCCTGTGTGTTAGAAGACACTATACCCCACAATTGTAAAGAAAGCAAAAACTTATACAAAAATAAAATTGAATACAGTGAAACAAAGCTAATGATGGAGAAGATACCTATAAAAAGTAAATGGAAAAATGAAAGTTAAAAAAAAGACTTAAAAACAGTTGAACAAATAAGAAACTAGTTGATAAGGGGGAAAAAAAGGTAAATTTTAAACTGACAGTTTTTTCATGAGAAAAAAACCCTCAAATCTTATATAATATTTTCCTGTAGCACTGCAGTTTTGCAGTTCTGTGCACTTGGTAACCTTGGTATTCACCTAATTTTCAGCTTCTCTTCTGGGGTAGGGGCCTGCTGTGCAGATCTTCAGGTTCGCCTGGGCACAGTTGAGATGCCCCTTGCAGGGGGGCCGGCCCCTGTAAGCTCCATGGGGTTGTTCTGTATGGCTTTTGTTGCCTGAAGGCTTTCTGTGCTGCTTTAGGGGATGAAAATAAAAATGGCCAAGCCCCCACCTCCAGCCCGGAGCTGAATGATGGCAGCCCCCCCCCCAAACCCTCAGGGAAAAACAGTCTTCACCTTTGTTTAGCCGAACTCTGCAGACTCCTGACGTCCATGCCCCCCATCGATTCTCCTGGGGAAGAGGGAAGTTCCCTGCGTTTCTGCCCTTTGCAGGGCCCCTGCGTAGAAAGTGGTTGTCCTGTCAGGCTGCGGTGTGTGGTTTTATGGGAAACTGAGCTGAGACCTCCCTCCTGGCATCTGACTGTAAGCAGTTTCCCCACCCCAGTGCTTGGGAATGCGCAGCACCCCCTTTCTTTCTATGACCCCAGGGATCCTGAGACGACACTGTTCCACTTAGGATCCTGCCTCCTTCTCCAGCTGAGCACCTTTCAGTCAGGCCTGTCTCTCACTGGAGTAGACCTCTAAAAGTTCCAATTTTGTGCTCTGGGACTAAATCACTTTCTGGTAGCTGGCTTATGTAGGCTTTCTCCCTCGGCCGTTTATCTTCCAGTATATCCCCACAGATCCACATCTCTGTACCTCCTACCTTGCAAACACTGGTCACTTTTCTATTTGTAAAATTCCCACAGTTCTTAGGTGTTCAGAATGATTTGATAGTCACCTAGCTAAGTTCAAGAGACCAGATGAAACGAGGTGCCCTACTCTTTGGCCATCTTGCCTCAGAAACCCAAAAAATCTTCTGATTGACTCCTGCTTCCCCTCTTTCCTACTGGCTATTATGTACAGGTGATAGCAGGAACTCAAGCAGCCATCTTGATGTCGTGGACCCCAAAGTGGACCCCAGTGTCTCACTGGTTGAGAATAGCACATCATCATGTGGGAAAGAGTCCCAACACCCTGAACTACTGTACACTGAACTGACTATATCAGGGCTTTGTGTGTGTGTGTGTGTGTGTGTGTGTGTGTGTGTATGTGTGTGTGTGAGAGAGAGAGAGAGAGAGAGAGAGAGAGAGAGAATACAATCAGTTTCTATCTTATGTAAGCCTGGGTTTTGTCTGTATATGTTTTTGTTCTTGTTGTAGATGGCCATATGCAGCTGGATCTAATCCTGACTAATGAAAGCAGGGTGCTAGAAGGGGCCCAAGTTTTTGTCCTGGATGACTGAACAAGTAGTCATGCATTGGATCAAGAACAAATAATTTAGGAACTTCTGGGAGTAGATAATCCTATAAAACAGTTATACACTGATGTGGATAAGTCTCTGCAATTCAAAATTTTTTTTAAAATCATGAAAACATTCAACCTGTATTTGAATCTTTTGTTTTGTTTTGTTTTGTTTTCTTAGGTATAAACATTGATCTCATGCTTTAATGACTTTAGAAATTTGATGACTAGTCTTACATCATAGTGGAGTTCTGAAATATCAAGGCTCACTCTGCTTTATTTTCTTGATAATGGAGGTATAAGTCTTAATCATAGTTTTGAGTTACAAAGAAATTTTTAAGTTTGGGGATCCTCACAAGTTAAATTGAAATAAACCCATGGAGGAATGCATCATATGTTGGAACTATTTATGAAGGGCAGTTTTTACTTTGTATTAGGTCTTTTCCCTCAATCACTAACTCTTAACCTTTATCATGTTTTGAACTTTCATGTCAAAATTATTGTTGGGTACACTGAGGGAAAATTAAATTCAATTTGCATTTTTGGCATTATTTATCAGAACCTTTAAATGACAGTAATTTTGGAGTGTAGATTTCACTTTGCTTTTTTATTCTTCAGGCTAGTCAAGGAAATTTTAGGACACACATTTTTAATCTGTTTTCTCTCTCTGATCTTTCTCCTTTAGGACAAATATGATGGATTTGTGGTGACAGTTGTAAGCTTACAGCCATCAAGGTAGCATTTAAAATGTCTTTAGGCAAGCTTGTTTTCCCTATCTTCTTAACTGGTCATGATAAAAGCTAAGTGTCTCTTTTTATACCGTTTAAAAATATGTCTTCTTTAGTTGCTGGCAAACAAGTTGGAATTTGAATTACCTGTGAAATCTTTCATGGAGATGACTGTATATGGGAAAAGGAAATTCTAGGACAGACTTTGAGCTAGAGCTGATGTAATGCATCCCAGCGAAGCAGTGCTTAGAACTCAGGTAGCTGTAAGCAGGTAAGTTAATAGCAGAGTAAACTTGCCAGAAACAAGCATGTATAAAAGAATAAAAGAAATGGAAACAGTAAGACCATTGATAACAAAATACAGGGAGCAGGATTCAGGGCCTCTTGTGGAAATCCTTAGAGGCTAAAGGCTCTAAAAGCTGAAACTGCTTCATTTTTCTTTTGATGTAACAGTCATTAAAAATAATAATAAGGCTCAAGCTAGGACCAAAATGGAAACTCACTTATATCAGTGTTGTTTTTTTTTTTAAATATTTATATTATAGCACAGGGCAGTGTCACATACACAAGGCCTTTTCTTGCACAAACTGTATATTTCATTGAAAACAAAGACAGGCTTGCTTGGAACTGAATTGACAGCTTTGTGGCTGTAAAGATAAATATAGCACTTTTCAGGTAGTGAATTCATGAATAATCAATGAACCAGCAAAGGACAAAAAGTGGCATATGGCAGCCTGGTGTGGATTAAGTGTGATTGTCACATCCCCTTTCACACCTTTTTCCCTTCTCTAATTTATTGAAAGAAATAAAGCCAGCCTCATGTAGCCAGAACACAGTATCTCTGAAAAAGTCTACTCAGGCAAAGTGTTATTAACAGGTTAGTTTATTCATTAAATGTCTCCTTACTATTTGGTTGCTTTAATAGTGTAGCCAAGTTGTTTGCATTAATTGAAATTTTATTCAGAATGAAAATTTGACTTGAATTCTTGAAATAAGCTGGTAGTTTCTGTTTTTTAAAATTACTATTAAACCAACGTTACTAATAAGTAACACTTAACCATGCTAATTTGCCAGAATGTTTCTCTAAATAAACCACAAATACATAATAGCTGTGTTTTCATGTCTTTCATGACTCAGTATATAAAACAAAATAGAAGGCATTCTTAATTTCTTTTCATATCAACCAATGCTTCATTGAAGATATTGATTCTATTATTTTTAACAACAAAAAGGAAACAACCAATTTCAATGGAAATTCTTTGATAGAACTGAAGTTTCTAGAATAGTGTTCAAAGGAACTGTTAAGGAGGAGGTATTTGTTCACAACCCAAGTAATAACTCTACCACTTAAAAACATCAGTCTTCCTTGGTGGCTAAAGAAGGGTGAGGTGTCCAGTCCCGTGAGTCTGTTTGCACCTTGTTTTTTGTCTGCTTTGTGTCAAGGATCTGATTGAACCCTGAACATTGGAGGGTCTCTAGGTAACTTGATTCTCTAGTTCCCTCAGTTCCACTCTAGTCTTTCCAGACCCTTTGAAATTGGCAGGGGAATTAGCAGTAAGTTGTGATAAAGTATATGTCATAGAAAGAATTATCATCTGTTTTGAATGGCTCCTGTCAACTTCCACAAAAAACAGTTTCTGGAACCTTATTCTTAGAATTGTAGGTTCTCATATGAATATCAAATATTAATGGGTAGTAGTTTTTGGAAAGGCTTTTACTATTAAAGGAATCAGCAGAGTAGCACATTAATTATTTTATTCCAGTGGTACAAATGAGCTACTGATTAACATCTGGCTTTTTTTCAAATTCATTGTAAGGTTCCTTAAAAAGACTTTTCATGTAAATTCTCTTGAACTGTATACCAGTAGCACCCCACCCCATATGTGTAATTAACTTTCTCTGTGTCACAATATCCCTCTATAATTCAGAGAAGTGAATGGTCATGAGATATTTAGCAGGTAGTTTGTTAAATCTAGGAGTTGGATTAAGCTTGTAATTAATTTACTTTAACAGTACAAATTGGGGTAGACTTACACTTAATTTTCTAATAGTTTTCAATTTGTTTCCTCGAGTGTGGGAGGAGATGGTGTTACTGTGAATGTACTTACTTATTCTACAGCCTGACATGTATTTGTGCATTTAAATGTCATGTGGCTTGTGTGTTGGGGAAGAAAAAAACCTGAAGGGCTACTTTTGTATAGACAGTGTCTAAGAAAACCAAAGTGTAATATCTGTTGAAAAGTAAACTTGGCTAATAACCTTTAAAATTACCTTCAACCAAACAACTCTATCAGTTTATCAGCAGTTTTGAAAATGCCTAATGCTTACGCCATGGCATAAGCTATGCCAGCTATGGAAACCACAGACTGGGTTGAAATGAGAGTGGTCATGGGAAGCCTGCCCTTAAAAATCCTGAAGATAAGCCCTGTTACTGAATTGTGTATATTTATTCCCTCTGTGAATAACTCAGTAAAGCCTATTCATCAAGGAAATCTTGTCCTTGAATCAGGTCCATTTGTCACAAATCATACACTTCAACTTCAGGATTACGTCAGGCTGAAATTATGAACAAAGCATGTTGCTATGTTCATTCTTTTATAACACAAAGAGTGGCTTATCATCAATTTGCCTACGGTAGTATCACCAGCAGTTTTATGTATTTAGGGTAATTTCTCCCAACTCTTCCTGAAGGCTATTGAGCTTTTATTTTTGGAACAAGAAAGAAAGAATCCCTGTTGTGTATTAAATACTTACCATTTGCCGAACACTGTGTTATGCTGAACCCAAGACAAGTTAATAGTTTCTACTTGTGAGTATAAACACAGAGTATTGTTAGGAAGATATAACACACATAAGACAGAAGGAAAGCTTACCCAGAGCTGGATTTTAAGAATAGTTTTGATTTTTATCACAGACCATCTTAGTCATTGGAGGTTTATAATCTATAAAACAGAAGTGTTAGAACTACTATTGGGTGGGGGAGGAGGAAGACACATTTAAAAATTCTATTTAAGAAGCCATTATTGAACTTGTTTCAGGAATTCTTTGATAGTCACTGGGGTTACAAACCTGATTATGCCTCCCAAGTACTCAAAAGTATAGGACAGTATGAATGACTTTCAATTGCCTTGCCCTTTACAGATTACAGATTGTTTTTAATGATATTATCTCCATTATTCTTTATAGCAGTACTGTTGGGGCTTTATTTTTATTTATTTTTTTTAAGAATTTTTTAAATTTTCTTTATGATAGTCATCACAGAGAGAGAGAGAGGCAGAGACACAGGCAGAGGGAGAAGCAGGCTCCATGCAGGGAGCCCCACGTGGGACTCGATCCTGGGTCTCCAGGATCGCGCCCCGGGCCAAAGGCAGGCGCCAAACCGCTGCGCCACCCAGGGATCCCCTGTTGGGGCTTTATAGTGCAAAGGCCTAGATAGATTAAATGAAGAATGGAGTAGGTATTTGGCCCCACTGCTATGTTTTCGCAGTATCTTTGGGATATTCTAACTAACCAAGTGAGGAGTTAGTTAAGCTATTAATAAGCCATGCAGAGGAGCACAAGGGATCTTTAGAATGTATACTGTATTGGTCTTTGAGTGACTTTGCTAGGATAAAATGGTGCATGCAAAGTTATTTAGTAGTTTGATAATATTTAAAAAATAAGACATTTACTTTTTTATTCTTATGACAGATATTTAAAGACATAATTTGCATGAGACATTGTATCATTGACTGTTCTATTTGATTCTGTTGTCACTCTTGGTAGTTCAAGCATGCTTAATGCAGAAGATTTGAAAGTACGGGTAAATATGAAGATCCAGAAAAAAATTAACTCTGCCTCTCATCACCTAGAAGTTGTGAACATTTTGATCTATTTCTTCAAGTTCCTTTTTATCCTTAAAAAATAGGTCCCATTTTTATAGAGACCTTCCAGCGTATATGTGATTGAATTCTACTATTATGGATGTAGGAGCTTTCCCCTCCCATTGAAAATAGTATTTCTTGGACATTTACTATATGTTTGGCACAGAGCTTATATTTTATATTTTAAAAATGTTTCTATATAAAAATATATGACAAAGAACCTGTGTATCACATATATAAGGTATGGGTTTCTATGAATGGATCCCCTAATGTAAGAACAATGTGAGAACCTGGAATATATTGAAGAGTGGCAACATATTCCACCTTAGCTAAAGGCACTTGAAAAACAGCAGGTATGAAGAAGGGCGCTCAGACCTCCCACGTGAGAGATGCCCTCCCTGTCCAGGGAGGAAACATTCGTATCACCAAAGTCAGAGGTCGAGACTGAGTATTCGGTACAGACAGACCTTGTTAAAATAATTACTATTTTCTTTTAGGTTTGCTGTATATTTTAGTTATTATTTCCACAATCATCTGTCCTTGCTCACATAGAAGCACCTGGGTTTTGCCAGTTCCTTAAGTCTTCATTTCCTTATGGAAGGCTTCCATGTACACGCAAAAATAAGTTCTGTATGCTTTTGCCCTGTTAATCTGTGCTAATTCTCAGGCTCAGCTGGAGGTTCTAAGATGGTAGAAGTAAAATTCTACCTCCCCAACACTCTCTGTCCACATGTATCTTTCTTCCCATCCTACCTTCGATCCTCCCCATCAGAAATACTGTCCTCAATTTGATCATTTTTTTGCCTTTTAAATTTTTTGATTTTACCTTATTTTTTAAATTTGATTTTTTTAGGATTTATTTTTGTACTGGGAAATAATTGACATACAATATTAAACTAGTTCAGGTGTGTAACAGTGATTTAGGATTTTTTTTCAGGATTTATATATGTTACAAAATCATCACTGTGATGTCCAGTTACCATCTGTCACTATACAAAGTTCTTACAATATTAACTATATTCCCTATACTGTACATTACATCCTGTGTTTTATTTTATAACTAGAATATTGTACCTCTTAATCTTCTTCACCTATTTGGTCTGTCACCACCACCTTCCTCCACTCTGGCAAACCATCATTTTCTCTGTACCTATGAGTGTGTTTCTCTCTTGTTTGTTCATTGGTTTCATTCATTAGATTCTACATGTAAGTAAAATCATACAACATTTGTCTTTCTCTCTCTGACTTACTTCACTTAGTATAACCCCCCCAGGTCAATTCATATTGTTGTGAATGGCAAGATTTCATTCCTTTTTATGGCTGAGTACTGTTCCATTGTGTATATTTATCACATCTTCTTCACCCATTTATCCATCAGTGGGCACCTAGGTTGCTTCCATACCTTGCC